GACCTGGAAGATCAAACGATGACCTAGGACCTTAAAATGGGGTATCATCGGCTTCGTCTCGTGACGGGTAGCACGCTCGTGTTTCCGCGAAGCTCTAGCTCGATCAGGGGCCAAACGCGAGGGGGGAAGTGGGGATCGTACCAACCCTCCTTGTGCAGTCGAAGGACGTTAAATGGCCAGTGCCGGCGAGGGTTCAGGTTAAGTGGTTATGTATCTAATGCATAATCACTTAACCTGAACATATTTGATTTACTTTTGCCTGCAATCTGCGATTGCAGATTAATTAATTATCTATTAGTGATAACTGGAATACAGGTTTACGCGATAACTGTATGTTTTGATACGTATGATTAACGGATGCATTAGTTTGGGTGTAGAAACTTGCATTTTTATTGGTATTATTTGTGTAGAACTGGGTAACTGCTTTTGATTGAACTGTAAAGCATGATGGTGATGCATGCGAGTTGTTCGAGCCCTTTGTAAGTTAGGATGTTACTCAATTCAACCCTACCCTACCCTTACACTACCCTACCCTACCCTTACACTACCCTACCCTATCCTACCCTACCCTACCCTACCATACCCTACCTTACACTACCCTACCCCTACCCTACCCTACCCTGCCCTGCCCTGTCCTGCCCTACCCTACCCTACCCTACCCTACCCCTACCCCTACCCTACCCTACCCTACCCTACCCTACCCTTACATTACCCTAACCTACCCTATACCCTACCCTACCCTGCCCTACCCTACCCTACCCTACCCTACCCTACCCTACCCTACCCTTACATTACCCTAACCTACCCTATACCCTACCCTACCCTGCCCTACCCTACCCTACCCTACCCTACCCTACCCTACCCTACCCTACCCTACCCCTACCCTACCCTAACCTACCCTACCCCTACCCTACCCTACCCTACCCCTACACTACCCTGCCCCTACCCTACCCCTACACTACCCTACACTAACCTACCCTACCCTACCCTACCCTACCCGGTAACGGTAGCGCTGGCTTACACCTTCTCCGCCGGCGCCAAGGTTGAAACTAATCAAGGTCACGTTTATTGATGTCCGTGAAGTTAGCGTCAGCAACAGCAACGAATACAACTTCGGATTCAGAATCACTTCAAAAACTCATATCAGGTCAATTGGGGGACGGGGAGCAAGAATATGACCTTTATTTAGCCCTAGCTCTTACCCCTTACCCTTTAATTGACCCTTAAAGGAAGGGACGCGTCAAAAGTGCCTCAAGGGTTCGTCTGATCGCCAAAATAAGGGCGGTAATCGATTTTTCGGGTCAATATCTAGCCGCGGCCTTGGGTTCCAGATGTGTGCATCTTACCCCTTACCTCTTAATCGGCCCTTCAAGGAAGGGGCGCGTCAAAAGTGCCTCAAGGGTTCGTCTGATCGCCAAAATAAGGGCGGCAATCGATTCCTCGGGTCAATATCTAGCCGCAGCCTTGGGTTGCAGATGTGTGCATCTTACCCCTTACCCCTTTATCGGCCCTTAAAGGAAGGGGCGCGTCAAAAGTGCCTCAAGGGTTCGTCTGATCGCCAAAATAAGGGCGGCAATCGATTTCTCGGGTCAATATCTAGTCGCAGCGTCGGGTTCCAGATGTGTGCATCTTACCCCTTACCTCTTAATCGGCCCTTAAAGGAAGGGGCGCGTCAAAAATGCCTCAAGGGTTCGTCTGATCGCCAAAATAAGGGCGGCAATAGATTTCTCGGGTGAATATCTAGCCGCAGCCTCGGGTTCCAGATGTGTGCATCTTACCCCTTACCTCTTAATCGGCCCTTAAAGAAAGGGGCGCGTCAAAAGTGCCTCAAGGATTCGTCTGATCGCCAAAATAAGGGCGGCAATCGATTCCTCGGGTCAATTTCTAGCCGCAGCCTTGGGTTCCAGATGTGTGCATCCTACCCCTTACCCCTTAATCAGCCCTTAAAGGAAGGGGCGCGTCAAAAGTGCCTCAAGCGTTTGTCTGATCGCCAAAATAAGGGTCGCAATCGATTCCTCGGGTCAATATGTAGCCGCAGCCTTGGGTTCCAGATGTGTGCATCCTACCCCTTACCCCTTAATCAGCCCTTAAAGGAAGGGGCGCGTCAAAAGTGCCTCAAGCGTTTGTCTGATCGCCAAAATAAGGGTCGCAATCGATTCCTCGGGTCAATATGTAGCCGCAGCCTTGGGTTCCAGATGTGTGCATCCTACCCCTTACCCCTTTATCGGCCTTTTTGAACCTGAGGCTGCGGCTAGATATTGACCACCCGATGAATCGATTGCGACACTTATTTCGGCGATCAGACGAACCCTTGAGGCACTTTTGACGTGCCCCTTCCTTTAAGGGCCGACTAAGGGGTAAGGGGTAAGATGCACACATCTGGAACCCAAGGCTGCGGATAGATATTGACCCAAGGAATCGATTGCCGCCCTTATTTTGGCGATCAGACGAACTCTTGAGGCACTTTTGACGCGCCCCTTCTTTAAAGGGCCGATTAAGGGGTAAGGGGTAAGATGCACACATCTGGATCGCGAGGCTGCGGCTAGATAATTGACCCGAGGAATCGATTGCCGCCCTTATTTTGGCGATCAGACGAACCCTTGAGGTACTTTTGACGCGCCCCTTCTTTTAAGGACCGATTAAGGGGTAAGGGGTAAGATGCACACACCTGGAACCCGAGGCTGCGGCTAGATATTGACCCGAGGAATCGATTGCCGCCCTTATTTTGGCGATCAGACGAACCCTTGAGGTACTTTTGACGCGCCCCTTCTTTTAAGGGCCGATTAAGGGGTAAGGGGTAAGATGCACACATCTGGAACCCGAGGCTGCGGCTAGATATTGACCCGAGGAATTGATTGCCGCCCTTATTTTGGCGATCAGACGAACTCTTGAGGCACTTTTGACGCGCCCCTTCTTTTAAGGGCCGATTAAGGGGTAAGGGGTAAGATGCACACATCTGGAACCCGAGGCTGCGGCTAGATATTGACCCGAGGAATCGATTGCCGCCCTTTTTTGCGATCAGACGAACCCTTGAGGCACTTTTGACACGCCCCTTCCTTTAAGGGCCAATTAAGGGGTAAGGGGTAAGATGCACACATCTGGAACCTGAGGCTGCGGCTGTATATTGACCCGAGGAATCGATTGCCGCCCTTATTTTGGCGATCAGACGAACCCTTGAGGCACTTTTGACGCGCCCCTTCCTTTAAGGGCCGATTAAGGGGTAAGGGGTAAGATGCACACATCTGGAACCCGAGGCTGCGGCTAGATATTGACATTGACCCGAGGAATCGAGTGCCGCCCTTACTTTGGCGATCAGACGAACCCTTGAGGTACTTTTGACACGCCCCTTCCTTTAAGGGCCGATTAAGGGGTAAGGGGTAAGATGCACACATCTGGAACCCGACGCTGCGGGTAGATATTGACCCGAGGAATTGATTGCCGCCCTTATTTTGGCGATCAGACGAACTCTTGAGGCACTTTTGACGCGCCCCTTCTTTTAAGGGCCGATTAAGGGGTAAGGGGTAAGATGCACACATCTGGAACCCGAGGCTGCGGCTAGATATTGACCCGAGGAATTGATTGCCGCCCTTATTTTGGCGATCAGACGAACTCTTGAGGCACTTTTGACGCGCCCCTTCTTTTAAGGGCCGATTAAGGGGTAAGGGGTAAGATGCACACATCTGGAACCCGAGGCTGCGGGTAGATATTGACCCGAGGAATTGATTGCCGCCCTTATTTTGGCGATCAGACGAACTCTTGAGGCACTTTTGACGCGCCCCTTCTTTTAAGGGCCGATTAAGGGGTAAGATGCACACATCTGGATCGCAAGGCTGCGGCTAGATATTGACCCGAGGAATCGATTGCCGCCCTTATTTTGGCGATCAGACGAACCCTTGAGGTACTTTTGACGTGCCCCTTCTTTTAAGGGCCGATTAAGGGGTAAGGGGTAAGATGCACACATCTGGAACCCGAGGCTGCGGCTAGATATTGACCCGAGGAATTGATTGCCGCCCTTTTTTGCGATCAGACGAACCCTTGAGGCACTTTTGACACGCCCCTTCCTTTAAGGGCCGATTAAGGGGTAAGGGGTAAGATGCACACATCTGGAACCTGAGGCTGCGGCTGTATATTGACCCGAGGAATCGATTGCCGCCCTTATTTTGGCGATCAGACGAACCCTTGAGGCACTTTTGACGCGCCCCTTCCTTTAAGGGCCGATTAAGGGGTAAGGGGTAAGATGCACACATCTGGAACCCGAGACTGCGGGTAGATATTGACCCGAGGATCGATTGCCGCCCTTATTTTGGCGATCAGACGAACTCTTGAGCCACTTTTGACGCGCCCCTTCCTTTAAGGGCCGATTAAGGGGTAAGGGGTAAGATGCACACATCTGGAACCCGAGGCTGCGGCTAGATATTGACATTGACCCGAGGAATCGATTACCGCCCTTATTTTGGCGATGAGACCAACCCTTGAGGCACTTTTGACGCGCCCCTTCCTTTAAGGGCCGATTAAAGGGTAAGGGGTAAGAGCTAGGGCTAAACAAAGGTCATATTCTTGTTCCCCGTCCCCCAATTGACCTGATATGAGTTTTTGAAGCGATTCTGAATCCGACGCTGTATTCGTTGCTGTTGCTGACGCTAACTTCACGGACATCAAGTTAGGTTAAGTTAGGTTAGGTTAGGTTAGGCTAGGCTAGGCTACGCTGGGTAAGGTTGGGTTAGGTTAGGTTCGGTTCGGCTAGTTAAGGCTGGGTTGGGTTAGGTTAGGTTCAGTTCGTTTAGTCAAGTTTGGGTTGCGCTAGGTAAAGTTAGGTTAGGTTAGTTTGGGTTAGGTTCGTGTGGGTTGGGTTAGGCTCGGTTTGGCTAGTTAAGGTTAGGTTAGGTTAGGTAAAGTTCTGTTTGGTCAGGCTAGGTTGGTTTAGGTAGTCCCCAGTCCCCAAAGCGTCCTGTAGTCCACAAAGCGGCAAAAATCCGATCAGGCAATCTACGCAACACCTCTCTGGTCCTGAGAAGGACCTGTTTCTTGCTTGCCAGCCTGCCGGAGCACGGCAACGGCACAAGCGGCCTAGGCGCGCTCGCCGCGGATGCGACGCGCCAGCTGAATGTCCTTGGGCATGATGGTAACACGCTTGGCGTGGATGGCACACAGGTTGGTGTCCTCGAAGAGGCCGACCAGATAGGCCTCGCTGGCCTCCTGCAGGGCCATAACGGCACTGCTCTGGAAGCGCAGGTCAGTCTTGAAATCCTGGGCAATCTCGCGCACGAGCCGCTGGAACGGCAGCTTGCGGATGAGCAGCTCGGTGCTTTTCTGATAGCGGCGGATCTCACGCAGTGCCACTGTGCCGGGCCGGTACCTGTGTGGCTTCTTGACGCCGCCAGTGGCCGGCGCACTCTTGCGAGCCGCCTTAGTGGCCAACTGCTTGCGCGGTGCCTTACCGCCCGTGGATTTGCGTGCTGTCTGCTTTGTGCGAGCCATTGCGTGGGTTAAGTTTCGCGTTTTTTTTTTTTTTTTTTTTTTTTTTTTTGAATTTTGCTCCCGACAGGCCGAGGCCCTGGTCGGGGTAGGGGGAAGTTACTAGCTGGCAATTAGCCAGATCTTCCGTTTTACTTTACTTTAATGCCGGCTATGTTATTCCGGCCCAAGGCAATATTAAGAACAAAGTTTACGTTAGCCCGGCTCATGTGACGTCCGGTGGAAGCAAGTGCAAGGGAAAGCCAGAAAGGGTGCCAGAGTGGCAGTGCCGAGAGGGATTTTGAGTACTTACATTTCTTGCTGCTGAATCTTGATGCTGAAATGTGGTAGTGTTGTAATGTGTGATGTTGTTGTGTTGTGAGTTCCACCAGGAAAGTCCTAACTAGAAAAACCTGGTGCCTATCTTAGAGGGCAAAACCTGTGCGCTTTTGCCAAATTGCACAGGAAAAATCCCTTTGCTTTGATATTACGTTACGTTATATCGCTAATGTGTAAGTGTGTTTGTGGAGCTATGTGTCTCGAGTGGGCCTCAACCTTTAAGAGGGATCCCTGTCGAGAACCGCGAGAGGGATGGGCAGGTGCCGATTGCCGCCGCCGCCGCCGGAGGGACGCAAACGCGCGCGCTCGCAAACATAGACGAAATCACGGCACAACAAGAACAATGGAAACAAAAACAATTACGATGAAACCACGAGAGAAACCAAGAGAAACCAAGAAAAACCAAGAGAAAATCATGTGTCCAAGGAGTTGGGGGAGGAGCCCACCGCCGCGTGCTAATGGTCCCCGCGGCGGCGGCTGGTGCCCGTAAGCTCGGGGCTCCTACAAAACCCCCACCAAGTGCTGACTGGTATGATTAGAGAACTGACGTTTCAGTGCTGACTCCAGTGACGTAACAATCCATTAAACGGGTCGTTGCGGACGGCATAGTGCCGACACCTCTTTCTCCAAGCAGATGGGGGGCAGAGGAGCCCTCCGCCGCGTGCCAATGGTCCCCGCGGCGGCGGCTGGTGCCCGTAAGCTCGGGGCTCCTTAATTGACATGGCCAGTGTCCAGGAAATCAAAAAGATTGAGTCCCGCGCCCAGAACCGCTATCGACGGCTGGCCGACCACGGAACTGAGCGCGAGACTGTGCTATATGGATCGGTCTAGCCTGGAATTCTTTAGGAAAGAGAAAAGCAAGTCGAGTAGATCCGGGTGAGAATCGCCGAGGAGAGTAGGAATTGAAAGTGCAAGTTGGTTGTGGGTGATATATTGGATTATAGGTTGCCTCTCTGCTTGATATTGGGGACAGTGGATCAAGAAGTGTTCAATTGTGTATCTTATGTTACAACGTTGGCAGATTGGAGGGGGGCCTTGATCAAAGATATATTCATGTGTCAATTTAGTATGTCCGATTCTAAGTCTGGCTATAATTACTTCTTTAAGCCGGGTATTTTGATAAGCAGTCGACCAGTGTCCGATAATTGGTTTGATTGGGTGAAAGTAGTAATGTGGATTTACGTCCCATTCAAACTGGACATACTTTTTGTAGGACGTGTAAATGACATTAAGATAATCTGATACCGGACATGGGAGGGAGTTATTGGGGGGATCTCGGAGGCTGGCTTTGGCCGCTTTGTCCGCGCGCTCATTCCCCACAATATTCGCGTGACCGGGTATCCAGATTATCTTAACTTCTCTGTTTTGGTCGGTGATTTGATTAATTTGTCTTTTAATATCTCGCGTGATTGGGTGCGAATCATTATGGGCCGCTGCGATTGATTGCACTGCTGCCTTGGAATCAGTACAAATCATTAGTTGTCTATCAGGTTTGTTGATTACGTGTCGAAGCGCTGCACTGATTGCGTAGAGTTCGGCCGAAAAGATGGAGTGGTTATCGGAGAGGCGGGTGGATTGTGCGAATCCTTTTATATAGAAGGCGGCTCCGGTCTTGTTGTCCGCCCGAGAGCCGTCTGTGTATATAAAAGTATGGTCTTTATGGTCGTTTTGGAATTCGAGGAAAAGTTGTTTCATTTCATCAGTGTTCATGTCTTTTTTGTTGTCATCGAAGAGGATGAGGGTTTGGATGGGGTGCCTAGTCCAGTACGGGCTCAGTGGAGGGTTATCTAGAACTTTTGGAGTCTCTATTTTATAGTCCCTAAGTATGTTTTTAAGGTGTCTTCTTATTGTTTGGTACTTGTATTCTCTATGTGTTATTATGTTATTTTCTGGTAGGTTACTGAGTATAGCGTATGGTATTGTATCTTTTCTTGCCATTACTTTCGTGTAATACCTTATAAGCTGGTATTCTCTTCTTCTTTCCAAAGGAGGAATGTTTGAATCAACACGGAGATTCGATGAAGGCGAAGTGCGGAGTGCGCCAGAAATAATGCGAAGAGCGGAATTCTGGATACTCTCGACCTTGTTACTGAGAGTAGTGGATATATTTGTTAGTAAAAAGGCATTATAATCCAAGATGGATCGAATCAGAGATGTATATAGAAGTGTCAGTGTTTTTCTGTCGGCGCCCCAGTGTGTACCAGAGATACATTTCATGATGTTGAGGCGCCGGGTGCACCTTCCTGTGATGTCTGCTATGTGTTGTGTGAAAGTGAGTCCCCTGTCCAGTGTGATGCCTAGATATTTAAAGGTATTTGTGTTGTCCAGATTGCTATATCGTCGGCGTAGGTGGCTATCTTGACTTGTCTTGTGTTCTGTTTGAGTTGTGAGTTGAGTGCAAGTACGAAGAGCAGTGGACTGAGTACTGTCCCTTGCATGAGTCCGGTGCTCGGGTACTGTGTGTTTGATGTGTTGGTGATTTGTCATTAAGACAAATGAGATTATGTTTGTTAATGATGTTGTAAAGTGTGGTGCCGCGCTGTGTTATGTTGTTGCAGCCCCAGGCAGTGTGGTGAGCATTAAAATCACCTATTATCAATTTAGGGGAGGGGATTTGGCCAAAGAGTCGATCCAGTTGTTGGTACGTTACGTTAATACTAGGTGACAAGTAGAGAGAGATTACATTAACGTCTCGCTGTGCAATTTTGATTGTGGTTGCAACGTAATTTAGGTTAGAGTCAAAGTTAACTTGATGATGTAGAAGGTTGTTAGAGACATACAAAGCCGAACCGCCTCGGCGTGGGGAATCATTTACGTTATTGCAGTAAAGAGAATATCCGAAGAGGTTAAAGTTATATTTAGTCGAGTCAGGCCTTAGGCATGCCGGGAAGACTAAATTAAAAAAAAAAAAAAAAAAAAAAAAAAAAAAAAAGAGTTAGCATTCCACTGGAGCAGGAATTCCTCCGTGTGTTGTGGCATATTACTGTTTCTTTAGAGCGGACCGAGTGAGCGGGCCGGACCTGGCTGACTCCAGCACATCCAGGTCGGCCAGGCTCAAGGGAACGGTGTTGTTCCGGCGGAGCGGTGGAGTGTCGTGGGGCGGCGGTGAGGGGGTGGGGGCGCTGACTATGGTAGTGTCTAGCTCGTCGAGCTGTAGGGAGATAGTGTCGGCCTCTGACTGGCCGCTGCCGAGGCTCTCCGCGGAGCCGCTCGAGTGTTTGGAGAGGCGGGACGGCCTTGGAGCGGGGTCGTCAGTGTCGGTGTCGGTGTCGGTGACGGACCGGACGGAGGGCGAGGCCTGAGGGGCGGCCGGTGAGGACATGTCGGTAGTGCGCTTAGGAGCGGGTGGCACGGAGCGTGCCGGTGGTGAGGCCACCTTATGGGTCGCACCTGGGGCCGGCAGGGGCGGCCAGTCGTCCCCGGCGAGAGGGGCGGTTGCGGTGTCGGTCGGGCGGGCGGCGGCGGCGGCGGCGGTCGGGCGGGCGGCGGCGGCGGCGGCGGTCGGGCGGGCGGCGGCGGCGGCGGCGGCGGTCGGGCGGGCGGCGGCGGCGGCGGTCGCGGAACGAGTGGGAGGGGACCCGGTGTCCGACGGCGGGTGAGGGGCGGGGAGCAGCCCGTCGGGCCGCTCCTCCCGGAACCACGTGGCTCCGTTGGGCCGACCGTGGCCTTGGGCCCGGTGCTCCGCGCGGCGGTTCTTGACTTCCGCGCGGTGCCACTGCTTGGCGTCCTCCGCGATAGGGCACCGGCGGTCCCACGCCGGGTGGGGACCGCCGCAGCCGGGGCACTGTTCGGGCCCGCTGCACTTCTCCGCGTCGTGCGGCCCGCCGCAGCGGCCACACATGGGCTGGCGTCGACGGCAGGCGCGCTTTGAGTGGCCATAGGCCCAGCACTTGGTGCAGGGGCGCGGGGCCGGGACCCAGGGGTCCACGGGCACGGAGAGGTACCCGCATCGGATGGCCTGCGGTAGGGTGCGGCCGCTGAACGTGAGGCGAATGGTCGGGTTTGGTCCGAGTTTTTGGAGGTCACGGGACCGGAGACGCTGTACTCGGACGACGCCTTGGGACTGCAGCTCTTCGAGGAGCTCTCGGTTAGGGACCTCCGTGAGGGCGTCCGAGCGGACCGATCCCTCGATCGAGTTAAGTCGGGTGGCCAGGGTGACAGTGATTGGTGTGCCTCTGAAGGAGGCGGTACGGAGCAGTTGCTGTGTTTGGGTCGCTGTTTTTGTTTCAATGAGGAGGGCGCCACTCCTGAGAGCTTTTAGAGATTTGTACCCGCTGATCACGAATCTGGCATCTATTTTCCTCTAAGCCTTCATTTGGAGCTTCCGGATTGCAAAATTGTCTTATTTATTATTACTAACTTGAATCAGTGAAATAGCCTCTAGCAGGGATACTCTTCTGTGACCTTGACCTTTGAGCAGCCTTGTATCGTAAGATGAACCACAAATGGGGAACTGATAAGCCTCAAAACATTTCAAAACATCTTGGAAGTTAGCACGCAAGATATGCGAAAAAGTGCCAAGTTTTAGGTCAATTTTAAGCGTGACCTTGACCTTGACCTTTCACTTTGAGCACATTTTCAGAATCCTCAGATTCTCTTCTTTCGTTTGACAGCCAATTTTGCCGGTTTGATGCAGCCTGCCGTCCTCTAGAAGGCTTACTTTGAGATCACTACACATGTGGCGGTTTTTGCCTTTGACCTTGACCTCTGACCTTGAAAATTGACCTGAGGTCAAAAATTTTAGGTGCATTAGAATAGTCTCGTAAGGACCTTTCGTTTGGTATCGCTTTTGCTTCCGTAGCTCCCTTATTTACGGAGTTAGACAGGGGGGGCGAAAAACGCCCCCCCCCCGGGCTGCGGTGGTTGGGATTACCCCCCGGGCCCGGCCGGGTTAATGTCACTGAATACAAAAAAAAATTGGGGGCAATTACTTCCATGCCGTGTTTCTTTATGTGAATTCATTCAAGGGCTAGAGACGTTTTGCTTGGCCTCTGCCCATCGACCTTCTTCTTTACTCGTCAAATATCACGGTACATATAAATGTGCAAGATTTGCACTTTCTAAACCCACTCGTACGTCAGTGACTCATCTTCTTTCCCTCTTTGGGCACAGAAAAGATAGGGGCATGACATATCTAAACTATGTTTCTCTATCTTCTTTCATTTAGGAGCTATAGACATTTCTCTCCGGCTCTACACATCGACATTATTTCTCTAGTCGTTTAATGTGACGGTACATATCAATCTACAAATTTGACACATTTTGGAGTCACAACTTGAGTGACCCATTTACTTTTCCTGTCAATAAGCACAAAACAGTGGGGCAAATTATATCAATGCTATGTTTCTCTATGTCAATTCATTCCGGAGCTATCGACTTTTCTCTTTGGCTCTGAACATTGACATTATCCTCTAGTCGTCCAATGCCACGGTACATTTACTTGTGCACTTCCTACAACCGCTTGCACTTACGTGACTCTTCTGTCTTTCCTCTAAGGCGG